GACTAGGAGCATCACAGGGGATGCCCACAGAGGGATGGGGGTGGTAATGGGTGCCAGGGGACAAAGGTGCTCTCCTTTGGAGGGTTCTTGTCACTCTGTCCCCACTCTGTACCCTCCTAGGAAATGCTGGAGATCATGAAGTCCATCTATGACATGATGGGGCACTGCATCCACCCTGCCCTGCGGGACAGCGCACCCACCGAGCGCGTGGAGCTCTTCTTTCAGGTGACACTGTCCCACTTCGGCCCCTCCCAGCAGCCACCAACCAACCCCCCTGCCTGGGGTGTCACGGGCTGGGGCTGTCACCCCCACCAGGGCCGGGGACGTCCCCGCTGAGCCCCCACTGTTCCCCTGCAGAAGATGGACAGGAACGGTGATGGCGTTGTGACCTTTGAGGAGTTCCTGGAGACATGCCAGAGGGTGAGCAGTGCTGGGGGGTGTCTTCGGCATCGCCACCATCCTCCTCCTCCTCCTCACGGCCAGGCCTCTGAACCCGAGTTCCTCATCCCATCCCAAAGTAACATCCAGGGGCGGTCGGGGGCAGCAGCGCCGGTGAGGGCAGGAGGGAGGGGAGGAGCGGGATGGGGGCTCTGACCTCTCCCTCCCCCCTGTGCAGGACGAGGATATCATGAGCTCCATGCAGATCTTTGAGAATGTGATCTAGAACCCGGGACCGCCCGCTTGGCCCCACCAGCGCCCGAGGGGGACTTTTTTTTCCCTACTATTTCAGACAAAAAACGAGAGGTTCAAAGAAGAAAAGAACCCACCTGGCTCACGGCACTCCAGTTACAAGGAGGAGAAGAGACAGGGGGTGACTTTACCGGTTTGTCCACCCAAGCCCCCCCCCGGCACAGCGCCTGGCAGTGCCTGCCCCACCGGACGGACCCATTTTGGGGGGGCAAACTTCCTCTGCAGTGGGGATCCCCCTGCCCCCGGGCGGCACAGGAGCCCCCACCACAGCACCCAGCCAGGGAGGGGGGGCTCCAAGCACAGCTACGAAATGGCGGCTCCCGGCCAACTGAAAAGCACACAAACCTCCTTCCCCCCACCCGACACAGCGCTTACAGAGACCCAGGCTGCTCCCCACCTCCTGGCAGTACCAGGAGAGAGGGTTGATTTTCTAAATAAAACAAAATGGCCACGATTTAGGGATGGAACATGCCGCCTGGGGAGCCGAGGGGGAAGCAACTGCCGCGCACAGCCCAGAGGGGGGCTGGAGAGGGCGGCTTTGAGCCCGGCAGAAGCAGCTCTGCTCTCCGGGACCGTTATTTGGGCTATGGCTGCTTTGTTTCTTCTCACAAACTGGCCGGTGAGGCCACACCACGGCTCAGCCAGGCCCCCAGCCTGGCCCGGCCCCCCTCCACACCTGCCTGTCATTCGCTCACTCATTGCACGTTTCCATGAAATAAAGGCGAGAAACATCCGCCTGGGCCCGGCTCGCTCCCGCCGCGGGGCCCGGCCTCGGCGCTGTCATGGCGGCCCCGTCATGGCGGCCGGGCGCTGTCATGGCGGCCGCGCTCTGTCTCCTAGCAACGCCGCGGCCCCGCCCCTTCAGGGGGGGAGGCGTTGCCGAGAACCGCCGGTTCTCATTGGTGACTCTGCCGGCGCTTCCCCGCCCCCTCCGCGCACCCATTGGCCAGCCCGGGGAGGGGGGGGAAGGAGAGTATGGGCGGGGACCTTCACGCGGGCGGCGCGGGGTCGGCGCGTGCGGGGCGGGGAGTGACGTAGGTGGGAGAGGGAGCCCCCGATTCCCCCGTCGGGGCCGGACACCGAGACA